GGAGGCAGGGGGAAGAAGCAGGTTAACAAAGGGGAGGCAGGGGGAAGAAGCAGGTTCACAAAGGGGAGGCAGGGGGAAGAAGCAGGTTAACAAAGGGGAGGCAGGGGGAAGAAGCAGGTTACAAAGGGGAGGCAGGGGGAAGAAGCAGGTTCACAAAGGGGAGGCAGGGGGAAGAAGCAGGTTAACAAAGGGAGGCAGGGGGAAGAAGCAGGTTCACAAAGGGGAGGCAGGGGGAAGAAGCAGGTTCACAAAGGGAGGCAGGGGGAAAAGCAGGTTCACAAAGGGGAGGCAGGGGGAAGAAGCAGGTTCACAAAAGGGGAGGCAGGGGAAGAAGCAGGTTAACAAAGGGGAGGCAGGGGAAGAAGCAGGTTCACAAAGGGGAGGCAGGGGAAGAAGCAGGTTCACAAAGGGAGGCAGGGGGAAGAAGCAGGTTCACAAAGGGGAGGCAGGGGGAAGAAGCAGGTTCACAAAGGGGAGGCAGGGGGAAGAAGCAGGTTCACAAAGGGGAGGCAGGGGGAAGAAGCAGGTTCACAAAGGGGAGGCAGGGGGAAGAAGCAGGTTCACAAAGGGGAGGCAGGGGGAAGAAGCAGGTTCACAAAGGGAGGCAGGGGGAAGAAGCAGGTTCACAAAGGGGAGGCAGGGGGAAGAAGCAGGTTCACAGGGGAGGCAGGGGGAAGAAGCAGGTTCACAAGGGGAGGCAGGGGGAAGAAGCAGGTTCACAAAGGGAGGCAGGGGGAAGAAGCAGGTTCACAAAGGGGAGGCAGGGGGAAGAAGCAGGTTCACAAAGGGGAGGCAGGGGAAGAAGCAGGTCACAAAGGGGAGGCAGGGGGAAGAAGCAGGTTCACAAAGGGAGGCAGGGGGAAGAAGCAGGTTCACAAAGGGGAGGCAGGGGGAAGAAGCAGGTTCACAAAGGGGAGGCAGGGGGAAGAAGCAGGTTCACAAAGGGGAGGCAGGGGGAAGAAGCAGGTTCACAAGGGGAGGCAGGGGGAAGAAGCAGGTTCACAAAGGGGAGGCAGGGGGAAGAAGCAGGTTCACAAAAGGGGAGGCAGGGGGAAGAAGCAGGTTCACAAAGGGGAGGCAGGGGGAAGAAGCAGGTTCACAAAAGGGGAGGCAGGGGGAAGAAGCAGGTTCACAAAGGGGAGGCAGGGGGAAGAAGCAGGTTCACAAGGGGAGGCAGGGGAAGAAGCAGGTTCACAAAGGGGAGGCAGGGGGAAGAAGCAGGTTAACAAAGGGGAGGCAGGGGGAAGAAGCAGGTTCACAAAGGGGAGGCAGGGGGAGAAGCAGGTTCACAAAGGGAGGCAGGGGAAGAAGCAGGTTCACAAAGGGGAGGCAGGGGAAGAAGCAGGTTCACAAAGGGGAGGCAGGGGGAAGAAGCAGTTCACACAAAGGGGAGGCAGGGGGGAAGAAGCAGGTTCACAAAGGGAGGCAGGGGGAAGAAGCAGGTTCACAAAGGGGAGGCAGGGGAAGAAGCAGTTAACAAAGGGGAGGCAGGGGGAAGAAGCAGGTTCACAAAGGGGAGGCAGGGGGAAGAAGCAGGTTCACAAAGGGGAGGCAGGGGGAGAAGCAGGTCACAAAGGGGAGGCAGGGGGGAAGCAGGTTTCACAAAGGGGAGGCAGGGGGAAGAAGCAGGTTCACAAAGGGGGGCAGGGGGAGAAGCAGGTTCACAAAGGGAGGCAGGGGGAAGAAGCAGGTTCACAAAGGGGAGGCAGGGGGAAGAAGCAGGTTCACAAAGGGGAGGCAGGGGGAAGAAGCAGGTTCACAAAGGGGAGGCAGGGGGAAGAAGCAGGTTCACAAAGGGGAGGCAGGGGGAAGAAGCAGGTTCACAAAGGGGAGGCAGGGGGAAGAAGCAGGTTCACAAAGGGGAGGCAGGGGGAAAAGCAGGTTCACAAAGGGGAGGCAGGGGAAGAAGCAGGTTCACAAAGGGGAGGCAGGGGGAAGCAGTTCACAAAGGGGAGGCAGGGGGAAGAAGCAGGTTCACAAAGGGGAGGCAGGGGGAAGAAGCAGGTTAACAAAGGGGAGGCAGGGGAAGAAGCAGGTTAACAAAGGGGAGGCAGGGGGAAGAAGCAGGTTCACAAAGGGGAGGCAGGGGAAGAAGCAGTTCACAAAGGGGAGGCAGGGGGAAGAAGCAGGTTCACAAAGGGGAGGCAGGGGGAAGAAGCAGGTTCACAAAGGGGAGGCAGGGGAAGAAGCAGGTTCACAAAGGGGAGGCAGGGGGAAAGAAGCAGGTTCACAAAGGGGAGGCAGGGGGAAGAAGCAGTTCACAAAGGGGAGGCAGGGGGAAGAAGCAGGTTCACACAAAGGGGAGGCAGGGGGAAGAAGCAGGTTAACAAAGGGGAGGCAGGGGGAAGAAGCAGGTTCACAAAGGGGAGGCAGGGGGGAAGAAGCAGTTCACAAGGGGAGGCAGGGGGAAGAAGCAGGTTCACAAGGGGAGGCAGGGGGAAGAAGCAGGTTCACAAAGGGGAGGCAGGGGAAGAAGCAGGTTCAACAAGGGGAGGCAGGGGGAAGAAGCAGGTTCACAAAGGGGAGGCAGGGGGAAGAAGCAGGTTCACAAAGGGGAGGCAGGGGGAAGAAGCAGGTTCACAAAGGGAGGCAGGGGGAAGAAGCAGGTTCACAAAGGGGAGGCAGGGGGAAGAAGCAGGTTCACAAGGGGAGGCAGGGGGAAGAAGCAGGTTCACAAAGGGGAGGCAGGGGGAAGAAGCAGGTTCACAAAGGGGAGGCAGGGGGAAGAAAGCAGGTTCACAAAGGGGAGCAGGGGGAAGAAGCAGGTTAACAAAGGGGAGGCAGGGGAAGAAGCAGGTTCACAAAGGGGAGGCAGGGGAAGAAGCAGGTTCACAAAGGGGAGGCAGGGGGAAGAAGCAGGTTCACAAAGGGGAGGCAGGGGGAAGAAGCAGGTTAACAAGGGGAGGCAGGGGGAAGAAGCAGGTTCACAAAGGGGAGGCAGGGGGAAGAAGCAGGTTAACAAAGGGGAGGCAGGAGGGGAAGAAGCAGGTTCACAAAGGGAGGCAGGGGGAGAAGCAGGTTCACAAAGGGGAGGCAGGGGGAAGAAGCAGGTTAACAAAGGGGAGGCAGGGGGAAGAAGCAGGTTCACAAAGGGGAGGCAGGGGGAAGAAGCAGGTTCACAAAGGGGAGGCAGGGGGAAGAAGCAGGGTTCACAAAGGGGAGGCAGGGGGAAGAAGCAGGTTCACAAAGGGGAGGCAGGGGGAAGAAGCAGGTTCACAAAGGGGAGGCAGGGGGAAGAAGCAGGTTCACAAAGGGGAGGCAGGGGGAAGAAGCAGGTTCACAAAGGGGAGGCAGGGGGAAGAAGCGGTTCACAAAGGGGAGGCAGGGGGAAGAAGCAGGTTCACAAAGGGAGGCAGGGGGAAGAAGCAGTTCACAAAGGGGAGGCAGGGGGAAGAAGCAGGTTCACAAAGGGGAGGCAGGGGGAAGAAGCAGGTTCACAAAGGGGAGGCAGGGGGAAGAAGCAGGTTCACAAAGGGGAGGCAGGGGGAAGAAGCAGGTTCCAAAGGGGAGGCAGGGGGAAGAAGCAGGTTCACAAAGGGGAGGCAGGGGAAGAAGCAGGTTAACAAAGGGGAGGCAGGGGGAAGAAGCAGGTTCACAAAGGGGAGGCAGGGGGAAGAAGCAGGTTCACAAAGGGGAGGCAGGGGGGAAGAAGCAGGTTCACAAAGGGGAGGCAGGGGGAGAAGCAGGTTCACAAAGGGGAGGCAGGGGGAAGAAGCAGGTTCACAAAGGGGAGGCAGGGGGAAGAAGCAGGTTCACAAAGGGGAGGCAGGGGGAAGAAGCAGGTTCACAAAGGGGAGGCAGGGGGAGAAGCAGGTTCACAAAGGGGAGGCAGGGGGAAGAAGCAGGTTCACAAGGGGAGGCAGGGGGAAGAAGCAGGTTCACAAAGGGGAGGCGGGGGAAGAGCAGTTCACAAAGGGGAGGCAGGGGAAGAAGCAGGTTCACAAGGGGAGGCAGGGGGAAGAAGCAGGTTCACAAAGGGGAGGCAGGGGGAAGAAGCAGTTCACAAAGGGGAGGCAGGGGGAAGAAGCAGGTTCACAAAGGGGAGGCAGGGGGAAGAAGCAGGTTCACAAAGGGGAGGCAGGGGGAAGAAGCAGGTTCACAAAGGGGAGGCAGGGGGAAAAAGCAGGTTCACAAAGGGGAGGCAGGGGGAAGAAGCAGGTTCACAAAGGGGAGGCAGGGGAAGAAGCAGGTTCACAAAGGGGAGGCAGGGGGAAGAAGCAGGTTCACAAAGGGGAGGCAGGGGGAAGAAGCAGGTTCACAAAAAGGGGAGGCAGGGGGAAGAAGCAGGTTCACAAAGGGGAGGCAGGGGGAAGAAGCAGGTTCACAAAGGGGAGGCAGGGGGAAGAAGCAGGTCACAAAGGGGAGGGCAGGGGGAAGAAGCAGGTTAACAAAGGGGAGGCAGGGGGAAGAAGCAGGTTCACAAAGGGGAGGCAGGGGGAAGAAGCAGGTTCACAAAGGGGAGGCAGGGGGAAGAAGCAGGTTCACAAAGGGGAGGCAGGGGGAAGAAGCAGGTTCACAAAGGGGAGGCAGGGGGAAGAAGCAGGTTCCAAGGGGAGGCAGGGGGAAGAAGCAGGTTCACAAAGGGGAGGCAGGGGGAAGAAGCAGGTTCACAAAGGGGAGGCAGGGGAAGAAGCAGGTTCACAAAGGGGAGGCAGGGGAAGAAGCAGGTTCACAAAGGGGGCAGGAGGGGGACAGGGGCACAAGGGGTAGGCAGCAGGGGGAAGAGAGCAGGTTCACAAAGGGGAGGCAGGGGGGAAGAAGCAGGTTCACAAAGGGGAGGCAGGGGGAAGAAGCAGGTTCACAAAGGGGAGGGGGGAAGGCAGGGGGAAGAAGCAGTTCACAAAGGGGAGGCAGGGGGAAGAAGCAGGTTAACAAAGGGGAGGCAGGGGGAAGAAGCAGGTTCACAAAGGGGAGGCAGGGGGAAGAAGCAGGTTAACAAGGGGAGGCAGGGGGAAGAAGCAGGTTCACAAAGGGGAGGCAGGGGGAAGAAGCAGGTTCACAAAGGGGAGGCAGGGGGAAGAAGCAGGTTAACAAAGGGGAGGCAGGGGGAAGAAGCAGGTTCACAAAGGGGAGGCAGGGGGAAGAAGCAGGTTCACAAAGGGGAGGCAGGGGGAAGAAGCAGGTTCACAAAGGGGAGGCAGGGGGAAGAAGCAGGTCACAAAGGGGAGGCAGGGGGAAGAAGCAGGTTCACAAGGGGAGGCAGGGGGAAGAAGCAGGTTCACAGGGGAGGCAGGGGGAAGAAGCAGGTTCACAAAGGGGAGGCAGGGGGAAGAAGCAGGTTCACAAGGGGAGGCAGGGGGAAGAAGCAGGTTAACAAAGGGGAGGCAGGGGGAAGAAGCAGGTTAACAAAGGGGAGGCAGGGGGAAGAAGCAGGTTCACAAAGGGGAGGCAGGGGAAGAAGCAGGTTCACAAAGGGGAGGCAGGGGGAAGAAGCAGGTTCACAAAGGGGAGGCAGGGGGAAGAAGCAGGTTCACAAAGGGGAGGCAGGGGGGAAGAGCAGGTTCACAAAGGGGAGGCAGGGGAAGAAGCAGGTTCACAAAGGGGAGGCAGGGGGAAGAAGCAGGTTCACAAAGGGGAGGCAGGGGGAAGAAGCAGGTTCACAAAGGGGAGGCAGGGGGAAGAAGCAGGTTCACAAAGGGGAGGCAGGGGGAAGAAGCAGGTTCACAAAGGGAGGGCAGGGGGAAGAAGCAGGTTCACAAAGGGAGGCAGGGGGAAGAAGCAGTTCACAAAGGGGAGGCGGGGGAAGAAGCAGGTTCACAAGGGGAGGCAGGGGGAAGAAGCAGGTTCACAAAGGGGAGGCAGGGGGAAGAAGCAGGTTCACAAGGGGAGGCAGGGGAAGAAGCAGGTTCACAAAGGGGAGGCAGGGGAAGAAGCAGGTTCACAAGGGGAGGCAGGGGGAAGAAGCAGGTTCACAAAGGGGAGGCAGGGGGAAGAAGCAGGTTCACAAAGGGGAGGCAGGGGAAGAAGCAGGTTCACAAAGGGGAGGCAGGGGAAGAAGCAGGTTCACAAAGGGGAGGCAGGGGGAAGAAGCAGGTTCACAAAGGGAGGCAGGGGGAAGAAGCAGGTTCACAAAGGGGAGGCAGGGGGAAGAAGCAGGTTCACAAAGGGGAGGCAGGGGGAAGAAGCAGGTTCACAAAGGGGAGGCAGGGGGAAGAAGCAGGTTTCACAAAGGGGAGGCAGGGGGAAGAAGCAGGTTAACAAAGGGGAGGCAGGGGGAAGAAGCAGGTTCACAAAGGGGAGGCAGGGGGAAGAAGCAGGTTAACAAAGGGGAGGCAGGGGGAAAGCAGGTTAACAAAGGGGAGGCAGGGGGAAGAAGCAGGTTCACAAAGGGGAGGCAGGGGGAAGAAGCAGGTTCACAAAGGGGAGGCAGGGGGAAGAAGCAGGTTCACAAAGGGGAGGCAGGGGGAAGAAGCAGGTTCACAAAGGGGAGGCAGGGGGAAGAAGCAGGTTAACAAAGGGGAGGCAGGGGGAAGAAGCAGGTTCACAAAGGGAGGCAGGGGGAAGAAGCAGGTTCACAAGGGGGAGGCAGGGGGAAGAAGCAGGTTCACAAAGGGGAGGCAGGGGAAGAAGCAGGTTCACAAAGGGGAGGCAAGGGGGAAGAAGCAGTTAACAAAGGGGAGGCTAGGGGAAGAAGCAGGTTCACAAAGGGGAGGCAGGGGGGAAGAAGCAGGTTCACAAAGGGGAGGCAGGGGGAAGAAGCAGGTTAACAAAGGGGAGGCAGGGGGAAGAAGCAGGTTCACAAAGGGAGGCAGGGGGAAGAAGCAGGTTCACAAAGGGGAGGCAGGGGGAAGAAGCAGGTTCACAAAGGGGAGGCAGGGGAAGAAGCAGGTTCACAAAGGGGAGGCAGGGGGAAGAAGCAGGTTCACAAAGGTGAGGCAGGGGGAAGAAGCAGGTTCACAAAGGGGATGGCAGGGGGAAGAAGCAGGTTCACAAAGGGGAGGCAGGGGGAAGAAGCAGGTTCACAAAGGGGAGGCAGGGGGAAGAAGCAGGTTCACAAAGGGGAGGCAGGGGGAAGAAGCAGGTTCACAAAGGGGAGGCAGGGGGAAGAAGCAGGTTCACAAAGGGGAGGCAGGGGGAAGAAGCAGGTTCACAAAGGGGAGGCAGGGGGAAGAAGCAGGTTCACAAAGGGGAGGCAGGGGGAAGAAGCAGGTTCACAAAGGGGAGGCAGGGGGAAGAAGCAGGTTCACAAAGGGGAGGCAGGGGGAAGAAGCAGGTTCACAAAGGGGAGGCAGGGGAAGAAGCAGGTTCACAAAGGGGAGGCAGGGGGAAGAAGCAGGTTCACAAAGGGGAGGCAGGGGGAAAGCAGGTTCACAAAGGGGAGGCAGGGGGAAGAAGCAGGTTCACAAAGGGGAGGCAGGGGGAAGAAGCAGGTTACAAAGGGAGGCAGGGGGAAGAAGCAGGTTCACAAAGGGAGGCAGGGGGAAGAAGCAGGTTCACAAAGGGGAGGCAGGGGGAGAAGCAGGTTCACAAAGGGGAGCAGGGGAAGAAGCAGGTTCACAAAGGGAGGCAGGGGGAAGAAGCAGGTTCACAAAGGGGAGGCAGGGGGAAGAAGCAGGTTCACAAAGGGTGGCAGGGGGAAGAAGCAGGTTCACAAAGGGAGGCAGGGGGAAGAAGCAGGTTCACAAGGGGAGGCAGGGGGAAGAAGCAGGTTAACAAAGGGGAGGCAGGGGGAAGAAGCAGGTTCACAAAGGGGAGGCAGGGGGAAGAAGCAGGTTCACAAGGGGAGCAGGGGAAGAAGCAGGTTCACAAAGGGGAGGCAGGGGGAAGAAGCAGGTTCACAAAGGGGAGGCAGGGGGAAGAAGCAGGTTCACAAAGGGGAGGCAGGGGGAAGAAGCAGGTTCACAAAGGGGAGGCAGGGGGAAGAAGCAGGTTCACAAAGGGGAGGCAGGGGAAGAAGCAGGTTCACAAAGGGGAGGCAGGGGGAAGAAGAGGTTCACAAAGGGGAGGCAGGGGGAAGAAGCAGGTTCACAAAGGGGAGGCAGGGGGAAGAAGCAGGTTCACAAAAAGGGGATGGCAGGGGAGAAGCAGGTTTCACAAAGGGGAGCAGGGGAAGACGGCAGGTTCACAAAGGGGAGGCAGGGGGAAGAAGCAGGTTCACAAAGGGGAGGCAGGGGGAAGAAGCAGGTTCACAAAGGGGAGGCAGGGGGAAGAAGCAGGTTAACAAAGGGGAGGCAGGGGGAAGAAGCAGGTTCACAAAGGGAGGCAGGGGGAAGAAGCAGGTTAACAAAGGGAGGCAGGGGGAAGAAGCAGGTTAACAAAGGGAGGCAGGGGGAAGAAGCAGGTTCACAAAGGGGAGGCAGGGGAAGAAGCAGGTCACAAAGGGGAGGCAGGGGAAGAAGCAGTTCACAAGAGGCAGGGGGAAGAAGCAGGTTAACAAAGGGGAGGCAGAGGGGGAAGAAGCAGGTTAACAAAGGGGAGGCAGGGGAAGAGAAGCAGGTTAACAAAGGGGAGGCAGGGGGAAGAAGCAGGTTCACAAAGGGGAGGCAGGGGGAAGAAGCAGGTTCACAAAGGGGAGGCAGGGGAAGAAGCAGGTTAACAAAGGGGAGGCAGGGGGAAGAAGCAGGTTCACAAAGGGGAGGCAGGGGGAAGAAGCAGTTCACAAAGGGGAGGCAGGGGGAAGAAGCAGGTTCACAAAGGGGAGGCAGGGGGAAGAAGCAGGTTCACAAAGGGGAGGCAGGAGAGGGAAGAAGCAGGTTCACAAAGGGAGGCAGGGGGAAGAAGCAGGTTCCACAAAGGGGAGGCAGGGGAAGAAGCAGGTTCACAAAGGGAGGCAGGGGGAAGAAGCCGGTTAACAAAGGGAGGCAGGGGGAAGAAGCAGGTTCACAAAGGGGAGGCAGGGGGAAGAAGCAGGTTCACAAAGGGGAGGCAGGGGGGAAGAGAGTTCCAAAGGGGAGGCAGGGGGAAGAAGCAGGTTCACAAAGGGGAGGCAGGGGGAAGAAGCAGGTTAACACAGGGGAGGCAGGGGGAAGAAGCAGGTTAACAAAGGGGAGGGCAGGGGGAAGAAGCAGGTTAACAAAGGTGAGGCAGGGGGGAAAGCAGGTTTCACAAAGGGGAGGCAGGGGGAAGAAGCAGGTTAACAAAGGGGAGGCAGGGGAAGAAGCAGGTTCACAAAGGGGAGGCAGGGGAAGAAGCAGGTTCACAAAGGGGAGGCAGGGGAAGAAGCAGGTTCACAAAGGGGAGGCAGGGGGAAGAAGCAGGTTCACAAAGGGGAGGTCAGGGTGGAAGAAGCAGGTTCACAAAGGGGAGGCAGGGGGAAGAAGCAGGTTCACAAAGGGGAGGCAGGGGGAAGAAGCAGGTTCACAAAGGGGAGGCAGGGGGAAGAAGCAGGTTCACAAAGGGGAGGCAGGGGAAGAAGCAGGTTAACAAAGGGAGGCAGGGGAAGAAGCAGGTTAACAAAGGGGAGGCAGGGGAAGAAGCAGGTTCACAAAAGGGGAGGCAGGGGGAGAAGCAGTTCACAAAGGGAGGCAGGGTTAAGCACAAAGGGGAGGCAGGGGGAAGAAGAGCAGGTTCAACACAAGCGGGAGGCAGGGAGGGAAGAAGCAGGTTCACAAAGGGGAGGCAGGGGGAAGAAGCAGGTTCACAAAGGGGAGGCAGGGGGAAGAAGCAGGTTCACAAAGGGGAGGCAGGGGGAAGAAGCAGGTTCACAAAGGGGAGGCAGGGGGAAGAAGCAGGTTCACAAAGGGGAGGCAGGGGGAAGAAGCAGGTTCACAAAGGGAGGCAGGGGAAGAACAAAGGGAGGCATGGGGAAGAAGCAGGTTAACAAAGGGGAGGCAGGGGGAAGAAGCAGGTTCACAAAGGGAGGCAGGGGGAAGAAGCAGGTTCACAAAGGGGAGGCAGGGGAAGAAGCAGGTTCACAAAGGGGAGGCAGGGGGAAGAAGCAGTTCACAAGGAAGCAGGTTCACAAAGGGGAGGCAGGGGGAAGAAGCAGGTTCACCAAAGGGGAGGCAGGGGGAAGAAGCAGGTTCACAAAGGGGAGGCAGGGGGAAGAAGCAGGTTCACAAAGGGGAGGCAGGGGGAAGAAGCAGGTTCACAAAGGGAGGCAGGGGCCGAAGCAGGTCACAAAGGGGAGCAGGGAAGAAGCAGGTTCACAAAGGGGAGGCAGGGGAAGAAGCAGGTTTCACAAAGGGAGGCTAGGGGGGAAGAAGCAGGTTCACAAAGGGGAGGCAGGGGGATAGAAGCAGGTTCACAAAGGGGAGGCAGGGGGAAGAAGCAGGTTCACAAAGGGGAGGCAGGGGAAGAAGAAGGTTCACAAAGGGGAGGCAGGGGAAGAAGCAGGTTAACAAAGGGGAGGCAGGGGGAAGAAGCAGGTTCACAAAGGGGAGGCAGGGGAAGAAGCAGGTTCACAAAGGGGAGGCAGGGGGAAGAAGCAGGTTCACAAAGGGGAGGCAGGGGGAAGAAGCAGGTTCACAAAGGGAGGCAGGGGGAAGAAGCAGGTTAACAAGGGGAGGCAGGGGGAAGAAGCAGGTTCACAAAGGGGAGGCAGGGGGAAGAAGCAGGTTCACAAAGGGGAGGCAGGGGGAAGAAGCAGGTTAACAAAGGGGAGGCAGGGGAAGAAGCAGGTTCACAAAGGGAGGCAGGGGGAAGAAGCAGGTTAACAAAGGGGAGGCAGGGGAAGAAGCAGGTTCACAAAGGGGAGGCAGGGGGAAGAAGCAGGTTAACAAAGGGGAGGCAGGGGGAAGAAGCAGGTTAACAAAGGGGAGGCAGGGGAAGAAGCAGGTTCACAAAGGGGAGGCAGGGGGAAGAAGCAGGTTCACAAAGGGGAGGCAGGGGGAAGAAGCAGGTTAACAAAGGGGAGGCAGGGGAAGAAGCAGGTTCACAAAGGGGAGGCAGGGGAAGAAGCAGGTTCACAAAGGGGAGGCAGGGGGAAGAAGCAGGTTCACAAAGGGGAGGCAGGGGGAAGAAGCAGGTTAACAAAGGGGGCAGGGGGAAGAAGCAGGTTCACAAAGGGGAGGCAGGGGGAAGAAGCAGGTTCACAAAGGGGAGGCAGGGGGAAGAAGCAGGTTCACAAAGGGGAGGCAGGGGGAAGAAGCAGGTTCACAAAGGGGAGGCAGGGGGAAGAAGCAGGTTAACAAAGGGGAGGCAGGGGGAAGAAGCAGGTTCACAAAGGGGAGGCAGGGGGAAGAAGCAGGTTCACAAAGGGGAGGCAGGGGGAAGAAGCAGGTTAACAAAGGGGAGGCAGGGGAAGAAGCAGGTTCACAAAGGGGAGGCAGGGGGAAGAAGCAGGTTAACAAAGGGGAGGCAGGGGGAAGAAGCAGGTTCACAAAGGGGAGGCAGGGGAAGAAGCAGGTTCACAAAGGGGAGGCAGGGGGAAGAAGCAGGTTCACAAGTTCAGGTGGAAGCAGCAGGTTTCACAAAGGGGAGGCGGGAAGAAGCAGGTTCACAAAGGGGAGGCAGGGGGAAGAAGCAGGTTCACAAAGGGGAGGCAGGGGGAAGAAGCAGGTTCACAAAGGGGAGGCAGGGGGAAGAAGCAGGTTCACAAAGGGGAGGCAGGGGGAAGAAGCAGGTTCACAAAGGGAGGCAGGGGGAAGAAGCAGGTTAACAAAGGGAGGCAGGGGGAAGAAGCAGGTTCACAAAGGGGAGGCAGGGGGAAGAAGCAGGTTCACAAAGGGGAGGCAGGGGGAAGAAGCAGGTTAACAAAGGGGAGGCAGGGGAAGAAGCAGGTTCACAAAGGGGAGGCAGGGGGAAGAAGCAGGTTAACAAAGGGGAGGCAGGGGGAAGAAGCAGGTTCACAAAGGGGAGGCAGGGGAAGAAGCAGGTTAACAAAGGGGAGGCAGGGGGAAGAAAGGAAGGCAGGTGGAAGAACAAAGGGGAGGCAGGGGGAAGAAGCAGGTTCACAAAGGGGAGGCAGGGGGAAGAAGCAGGTTAACAAAGGGGAGGCAGGGGGAAGAAGCAGGTTCACAAAGGGGAGGCAGGGGAAGAAGCAGGGTTCACAAAGGGGAGGCAGGGGGAAGAAGCAGGTTCACAAAGGGGAGGCAGGGGGAAGAAGCAGGTCACAAAGGGAGGCAGGGGGAAGAGAAGCAGGTTCACAAAGGGGAGGCAGGGGGAAGAAGCAGGTTAACAAAGGGGAGGCAGGGGGAAGAAGCAGGTTCACAAAGGGGAGGCAGGGGAAGAAGCAGGTAACAAAGGGGAGGCAGGGGAAGAAGCAGGTTACCAAAGGGGAGGCAGGGGGAAGAAGCAGGTTAACAAAGGGGAGGCAGGGGGGAAGAAGCAGGTTCACAAAGGGGAGGCAGGGGGAAGAAGCAGGTTCACAAGGGAGGCAGGGGGAAGAAGCAGGTCACAAAGGGGAGGCAGGGGAAGAAGCAGGTTCACAAAGGGGAGGCAGGGGGAAGAAGCAGGTTCACAAAGGGGAGGCAGGGGGAAGAAGCAGGTTCACAAAGGGGAGGCAGGGGGAGAAGCAGGTTAACAAAGGGGAGGCAGGGGGAAGAAGCAGGTTCACAAAGGGGAGGCAGGGGGAAGAAGCAGGTTCACAAAGGGGAGGCAGGGGGAAGAAGCAGGTTCACAAAGGGGAGGCAGGGGGAAGAAGCAGGTTCACAAAGGGGAGGCAGGGGGAAGAAGCAGGTTAACAAAGGGGAGGCAGGGGAAGAAGCAGGTTCACAAAGGGGAGGCAGGGGGAAGAAGCAGGTTAACAAAGGGGAGGCAGGGGAAGAAGCAGGTTCACAAAGGGGAGGCAGGGGGAAGAAGCAGGTTAACAAAGGGAGGCAGGGGGAAGAAGCAGGTTCACAAAGGGGAGGCAGGGGGAAGAAGCAGGTTAACAAAGGGGAGGCAGGGGGAAGAAGCAGGTTCACAAAGGGGAGGCAGGGGGAAGAAGCAGGTTAACAAAGGGGAGGCAGGGGGAAGAAGCAGGTTAACAAAGGGGAGGCAGGGGGAGAAGCGGTAACAAAGGGGAGGCAGGGGGAAGAAGCAGGTTAAACAAAGGGGAGGCAGGGGGAAGAAGCAGGTTCACAAAGGGAGGCAGGGGGAAGAAGCAGGTTAACAAAGGGGAGGCGGGGAAGAAGCAGGTTCACAAAGGGGAGGCAGGGGGAAGAAGCAGGTTAACAAAGGGGAGGCAGGGGGAGGAAGAAGCAGGTTAACAAAGGGGAGGCAGGGGAAGAAGCAGGTTCACAAAGGGGAGGCAGGGGGAAGAAGCAGGTTCACAAAGGGAGGCAGGGAACATACGGGGGGGAAGAAGCAGGGTAACAAAGGGAGGCAGGGGGAAGAAGCAGGTTCCACAAAGGGAGGCAGGGGGAAGAAGCAGGTTCACAAAGGGGAGGCAGGGGGAAGAAGCAGGTTAACAAAGGGGAGGCAGGGGGAAGAAGCAGGTTAACAAAGGGGAGGCAGGGGGAAGAGCAGGTTCACAAAGGGGAGGCAGGGGGAAGAAGCAGGTTCACAAAGGGGAGGCAGGGGAAGAAGCAGGTTCACAAAGGGGAGGCAGGGGGAAGAAGCAGGTTAACAAAGGGGAGGCAGGGGGAAGAAGCAGGTTCACAAGGGGAAGGCAGGGGGAAGAAGCAGGTTAACAAAGGGGAGGCAGGGGGAAGAAGCAGGTTCACAAAGGGGAGGCAGGGGGAAGAAGCAGGTTCACAAAGGGGAGGCAGGGGGAAGAAGCAGGTTCACAAAGGGGAGGCAGGGGGAAGAAGCAGGTTCACAAAGGGGAGGCAGGGGGAAGAAGCAGGTTAACAAAGGGGAGGCAGGGGGAAGAAGCAGGTTAACAAAGGGGAGCAGGGGGAAGAAGCAGGTTCACAAAGGGGAAGGCAGGGGGAAAGAAGCAGGTTAACAAAGGGGAGGCAGGGGGAAGAAGCAGGTTCACAAAGGGAGGCAGGGGGAAGAAGCAGGTTAACAAAGGGGAGGCAGGGGGAAGAAGCAGGTTTCACAAAGGGGAGGCAGGGGGAAGACGCAGCGATTCACAAAGGGAGGCAAGGGGGGAAGAAGCAGGTTAACAAAGGGGAGGCAGGGGGAAGAAGCAGGTTCACAAAGGGGAGGCAGGGGAAGAAGCAGGTTCACAAAGGGGAGGCAGGGGGAAGAAGCAGGTTCACAAGGGTAGGCAGGGGGAAGAAGCAGGTTAACAAAGGGGAGGCAGGGGGAAGAAGCAGGTCACAAAGGGGAGGCAGGGGGGAAGAAGCAGGTTCACAAGGGGAGGCAGGGGGAAGAAGCAGGTTCACAAAGGTGAGGCAGGGGGAAGAAGCAGGTTACAAAGGGGAGGCAGGGGGAAGAAGCAGGTAACAAAGGGGGAGGCAGGGGGAAGAAGCAGGTTCACAAAGGGGAGGCAGGGGAAGGAACCTAAGGGGAGGCAAGGGGAAGAAGCAGGTTAACAAAGGGGAGGCAGGGGGAAGAAGCAGGTTCACAAAGGGGAGGCAGGGGGGAAGAAAGCAGGTTCACAAAGGGGAGGCAGGGGGAAGTAAGCAGGTTCACAAAGGGGAGGCAGGGGAAGAAGGCAGGTTTCACAAAGGGTAGGCAGGCGGGAAGAAGCAGGTTCACAAAGGGGAGGCAGGGGGAAGAAGCAGGTTCACAAAGGGGAGGCAGGGGGAAGAACTCAAGCGGAGGCAGGGGAAGAAGCAGGTTCACTAAGGGGAGGCAGGGGGAAAGACTAAGGGAGGCAGGGGGAAGAAGCAGGTTCACAAAGGCGGAGGCAGGGGGAAGAAGCAGCGTCAACAAAGGGGAGGCAGGGGGAAGAAGCAGGTTCACAAAGGGGAGGCAGGGGGAAAGAAGCGGTTCACAAAGGGAGGCAGGCGGATAGTAAGCAGGTTCACAAAGGGGAGGCAGGGGGAAGAAGCAGGTTCACAAAGGGGAGGCAGGGGGAAGAAGCAGGTTAACAAAGGGGAGGCAGGGGGAAGAAGCAGGTTCACAAAGGGGAGGCAGGGGGAAGAAGCAGGTTAACAAAGGGGAGGCAGGGGGAAGAAGCAGGTTAACAAAGGGGAGGCAGGGGGAAGAAGCAGGTTAACAAAGGGGAGGCAGGGGGAAGAAGCAGGTTAACAAAGGGGAGGCAGGGGGAAGAAGCAGGTTCACAAAGGGGAGGCAGGGGAAGAAGCAGGTTCACAAAGGGGAGGCAGGGGGAAGAAGCAGGTTCACAAAGGGGAGGCAGGGGGAAGAAGCAGGTTCACAAAGGGGAGGCAGGGGAAGAAGCAGGTTAACAAAGGGGAGGCAGGGGGAAGAAGCAGGTTAACAAAGGGGAGGCAGGGGGAAGAAGCAGGTTCACAAAGGGGAGCAGGGGGAAGAAGCAGGTTAACAAAGGGGAGGCAGGGGGAAGAAGCAGGTTAACAAAGGGGAGGCAGGGGGAAGAAGCAGGTTCACAAAGGGAGGCAGGGGGAAGAAGCAGGTTACCAAAGGGGAGGCAGGGGGAAGAAGCAGGTTAACAAAGGGGAGGCAGGGGAAGAAGCAGGTTAACAAAGGGGAGGCAGGGGGAAGAAGCAGGTTCACAAAGGGGAGGCAGGGGGAAGAAGCAGGTTCACAAAGGGAGGCAGGGGGAAGAAGCAGGTTCACAAAGGGGAGGCAGGGGGAAGAAGCAGGTTTACAAAGGGGAGGCAGGGGGAAGAAGCAGGTTAACAAAGGGGAGGCAGGGGGAAGAAGCAGGTTAACAAAGGGGAGGCAGGGGGAAGAAGCAGGTTCACAAAGGGGAGGCAGGGGGAAGAAGCAGGTTAACAAAGGGGAGGCAGGGGGAAGAAGCAGGTTAACAAAGGGGAGGCAGGGGGAAGAAGCAGGTTCACAAAGGGGAGGCTAGGGGGAAGAAGCAGGTTAACAAAGGGGAGGCAGGGGGAAAGAAGCAGGTTAACAAAGGGGAGGCAGGGGGAAGAAGCAGGTTCACAAAGGGGAGGCAGGGGGAAGAAGCAGGTTAACAAAGGGGAGGCAGGGGGAAGAAGCAGGTTCACAAAGGGAGGCAGGGGGAAGAAGCAGGTTCACAAAGGGGAGGCAGGGGGAAGAAGCAGGTTCACAAAGGGAGGCAGGGGAAGAAGCAGGTTCACAAAGGGAGGCAGGGGGAAGAAGCAGGTTCACAAAGGGGAGGCAGGGGGAAGAAGCAGGTTCACAAAGGGGAGGCAGGGGGAAGAAGCAGGTTCACAAAGGGGAGGCAGGGGGAAGAAGCAGGTTAACAAAGGGGAGGCAGGGGAAGAAGCAGTGTTCACAAAGGGGAGGCAGGGGGAAGAAGCAGGTTAACAAAGGGGAGGCAGGGGGAAGAAGCAGGTTAACAAAGGGGAGGCAGGGGGAAGAAGCAGGTTCACAAAGGGGAGGCAGGGGGAAGAAGCAGGTTCACAAAGGGGAGGCAGGGGGAAGAAGCAGGTTCACAAAGGGGAGGCAGGGTGGACGCAGGGAAGAGCAGGTTCACAAAGGGGAGGCAGGGGGAAGAAGCAGGTTCACAAAGGGGAGGCAGGGGGAAGAAGCAGGTTCACAAAGGGGAGGCAGGGGGAAGAAGCAGGTTAACAAAGGGGAGGCGGGGGAAGAAGCAGGTTCACAAAGGGGAGGCAGGGGGAAGAAGCAGGTTAACAAAGGGGAGGAAGGGGGAAGAAGCAGGTTCACAAAGGGGAGGCAGGGGGAAGAAGCAGGTTCACAAAGGGGAGGCAGGGGGAAGAAGCAGGTTCACAAAGGGAGGCAGGGGGAAGAAGCAGGTTCACAAAGGGAGGCAGGGGGAAGAAGCAGGTTACCAAAGGGGAGGCAGGGGAAGAAGCAGGTTAACAAAGGGGAGGCAGGGGGAAGAAGCAGGTTAACAAAGGGAGGCAGGGGAAGAAGCAGGTTCACAAAGGGAGGCAGGGGAAGAAGCAGGTTCACAAAGGGGAGGCAGGGGGAAGAAGCAGGTTCACAAAGGGGAGCAGGGGGAAGAAGCAGGTTCACAAAGGGGAGGCAGGGGGAAGAAGCAGGTTAACAAAGGGGAGGGCAGGGGGAAGAAGCAGGTTAACAAAGGGGAGGGCAGGGGGAAGAAGCAGGTTCACAAAGGGGAGGCAGGGGGAAGAAGCAGGTTCACAAAGGGGATGCAGGGGAAGAAGCAGGTTAACAAAGGGGAGGCAGGGGGAAGAAGCAGGTTCACAAAGGGGAGGCAGGGGGAAGAAGCAGGTTAACAAAGGGGAGGCAGGGGGAAGAAGCAGGTTCACAAAGGGGAGGCAGGGGGAAGAAGCAGGTTCACAAAGGGAGGCAGGGGGAGAAGCAGGTAACAAAGGGGAGGCAGGGGAAGAAGCAGGTTCACCAAAGGGGAGGCAGGGGGAAGAAGCAGGTTCACAAAGGGGAGGCAGGGGGAAGAAGCAGGTTCACAAAGGGGAGGGCAGGGGGAAGAAGCAGGTTCAACAAGGGGAGGCAGGGGGAAGAAGCAGGTTCACAAAGGGGAGGCAGGGGGAAGAAGCAGGTTCACAAAGGGGAGGCAGGGGAAGAAGCAGGTTCACAAAGGGGAGGCAGGGGAAGAAGCAGGTTAACAAAGGGGAGGCAGGGGGAAGAAGCAGGTTCACAAAGGGGAGGCAGGGGGAAGAAGCAGGTTCACAAAGGGGAGGCAGGGGAAGAAGCAGGTTCACAAAGGGGAGGCAGGGGGAGAAGCAGGTTCACAAAGGGGAGGCAGGGGGAAGAAGCAGGTTCACAAAGGGGAGGCAGGGGGAAGAAGCAGGTTCACAAAGGGGAGGCAGGGGGAAGAAGCAGGTTAACAAAGGGGAGGCAGGGGGAAGAAGCAGGTTAACAAAGGGGAGGCAGGGGGAAGAAGCAGGTTAACAAAGGGGAGGCAGGGGGAAGAAGCAGGTTCACAAAGGGGAGGCAGGGGGAAGAAGCAGGTTAACAAAGGGGAGGCAGGGGGAAGAAGCAGGTTCACAAAGGGGAGGCAGGGGGAAGAAGCAGGTTAACAAAGGGGAGGCAGGGGGAAGAAGCAGGTTAACAAAGGGGAGGCAGGGGGAAGAAGCAGGTTCACAAAGGGGAGGCAGGGGGAAGAAGCAGGTTCACAAAGGGGAGGCAGGGGGAAGAAGCAGGTTCACAAAGGGGAGGCAGGGGGAAGAAGCAGGTTCACAAAGGGGAGGCAGGGGGAAGAAGCAGGTTCACAAAGGGGAGGCAGGGGGGAAGAAGCAGGTTCACAAAGGGGAGGCAGGGGGAAGAAGCAGGTTAACAAAGGGGAGGCAGGGGGAAGAAGCAGGTTAACAAAGGGGAGGCAGGGGGAAGAAGCAGGTTAACAAAGGGGAGGCAGGGGGAAGAAGCAGGTTAACAAAGGGGAGGCAGGGGGAAGAAGCAGGTTAACAAAGGGGAGGCAGGGGGAAGAAGCAGGTTCACAAAGGGGAGGCAGGGGGAAGAAGCAGGTTCACAAAGGGGAGGCAGGGGGAAGAAGCAGGTTCACAAAGGGGAGGCAGGGGGAAGAAGCAGGTTACCAAAGGGGAGGCAGGGGAAGAAGCAGGTTAACAAAGGGGAGGCAGGGGGAAGAAGCAGGTTAACAAAGGGGAGGCAGGGGGAAGAAGCAGGTTCACAAAGGGGAGGCAGGGGGAAGAAGCAGGTTCACAAAGGGGAGGCAGGGGGAAGAAGCAGGTTCACAAAGGGGAGCAGGGGGAAGAAGCAGGTTAACAAAGGGGAGGCAGGGGGAAGAAGCAGGTTAACAAAGGGGAGGCAGGGGGAAGAAGCAGGTTAACAAAGGGGAGGCAGGGGGAAGAAGCAGGTTCACAAAGGGGAGGCAGGGGAAGAAGCAGGTTAACAAAGGGGAGGCAGGGGGAAGAAGCAGGTAACAAAGGGGAGGCAGGGGGAAGAAGCAGGTTCACAAAGGGGAGGCAGGGGAAGAAGCAGGTTCACAAAGGGGAGGCAGGGGGAAGAAGCAGGTTAACAAAGGGGAGGCAGGGGGAAGAAGCAGGTTAACAAAGGGGAGGCAGGGGGAAGAAGCAGGTTCACAAAGGGGAGGCAGGGGGAAGAAGCAGGTTCACAAAGGGGAGGCAGGGGGAAGAAGCAGGTTTCACAAAGGGGAGGCAGGGGAAGAAGCAGGTTCACAAAGGGGAGGCAGGGGGAAGAAGCAGGTTCACAAAGGGGAGGCAGGGGAAGAAGCAGGTTCACAAAGGGGAGGCAGGGGGAAGAAGCAGGTTAACAAAGGGGAGGCAGGGGGAAGAAGCAGGTTCACAAAGGGGAGGCAGGGGGAAGAAGCAGGTTAACAAAGGGGAGGCAGGGGGAAGAAGCAGGTTCACAAACGGGAGGCAGGGGAAGAAGCAGGTTAACAAAGGGGAGGCAGGGGGAAGAAGCAGGTTAACAAAGGGGAGGCAGGGGGAAGAAGCAGGTTCACAAAGGGGAGGCAGGGGGAAGAAGCAGGTTCACAAAGGGGAGGCAGGGGAAGAAGCAGGTTCACAAAGGGGAGGCAGGGGGAAGAAGCAGGTTCACAAAGGGGAGGCAGGGGAAGAAGCAGGTTAACAAAGGGGAGGCAGGGGGAAGAAGCAGGTTAACAAAGGGGAGGCAGGGGAAGAAGCAGGTTCACAAAGGGAGGCAGGGGGAAGAAGCAGGTTAACAAAGGGGAGGCAGGGGGAAGAAGCAGGTTCACAAAGGGAGGCAGGGGGAAGAAGCAGGTTCACAAAGGGGAGGCAGGGGAAGAAGCAGGTTCACAAAGGGGAGGACAGGGGGAAGAAGCAGGTTAACAAAGGGGAGGCAGGGGGAAGAAGCAGGTTCACAAAGGGGAGGCAGGGGGAAGAAGCAGGTTAACAAAGGGGAGGCAGGGGGAAGAAGCAGGTTCACAAAGGGGAGGCAGGGGGAAGAAGCAGGTTAACAAAGGGGAGGCAGGGGGAAGAAGCAGGTTCACAAAGGGGAGGCAGGGGGAAGAAGCAGGTTCACAAAGGGGAGGCAGGGGGAAGAAGCAGGTTAACAAAGGGGAGGCAGGGGGAAGAAGCAGGTTAACAAAGGGGAGGCAGGGGAAGAAGCAGGTTCACAAAGGGGAGGCAGGGGGAAGAAGCAGGTTCACAAAGGGGAGGCAGGGGGAAGAAGCAGGTTCACAAAGGGGAGGCAGGGGGAAGAAGCAGGTTAACAAAGGGGAGGCAGGGGGAAGAAGCAGGTTCACAAAGGGGAGGCAGGGGAAGAAGCAGGTTAACAAAGGGGAGGCAGGGGGAAGAAGCAGGTTCACAAAGGGGAGGCAGGGGGAAGAAGCAGGTTAACAAAGGGGAGGCAGGGGGAAGAAGCAGGTTCACAAAGGGGAGGCAGGGGGAAGAAGCAGGTTCACAAAGGGGAGGCAGGGGGAAGAACAAAGGGGAGGCAGGGGGAAGAAGCAGGTTAACAAAGGGGAGGCAGGGGGAAGAAGCAGGTTCACAAAGGGGAGGCAGGGGGAAGAAGCAGGTTAACAAAGGGGAGGCAGGGGGAAGAAGCAGGTTCACAAAGGGGAGGCAGGGGGAAGAAAGCAGGTTAACAAAGGGGAGGCAGGGGGAAGAAGCAGGTTCACAAAGGGGAGGCAGGGGGAAGAAGCAGGTTAACAAAGGGGAGCAGGGGGAAGAAGCAGGTTCACAAAGGGGAGGCAGGGGGAAGAAGCAGGTTAACAAAGGGGAGGCAGGGGGAAGAAGCAGGTTCACAAAGGGGAGGCAGGGGGAAGAAGCAGGTTCACAAAGGGGAGGCAGGGGGAAGAAGCAGGTTCACAAAGGGGAGGCAGGGGGAAGAAGCAGGTTCACAAAGGGGAGGCAGGGGGAAGAAGCAGGTTCACAAAGGGGAGGCAAGGGGAAGAAGCAGGTTCACAAAGGGGAGGCAGGGGGAAGAAGCAGGTTAACAAAGGGGAGGCAGGGGGAAGAAGCAGGGTTAACAAAGGGGAGGCAGGGGGAAGCAGCAGGTTCACAAAGGGGAGGCAGGGGGAAGAAGCAGGTTCACAAAGGGGAGGCAGGGGGAAGAAGCAGGTTCACAAAGGGGAGGCAGGGGAAGAAGCAGGTTCACAAAGGGGAGGCAGGGGGAAGAAGCAGGTTCACAAAGGGGAGGCAGGGGGAAGAAGCAGGTTCACAAAGGGGAGGCAGGGGGAAGAAGCAGGTTCACAAAGGGAGGCAGGGGAAGAAGCAGGTTACAAAGGGGAGGCAGGGGGAAGAAGCAGGTTCACAAAGGGGAGGCAGGGGGAAGAAGCAGGTTAACAAAGGGGAGGCAGGGGGAAGAAGCAGGTTAACAAAGGGGAGGCAGGGGAAGAAGCAGGTTAACAAAGGGGAGGCAGAGGGAAGAAGCAGGTTCACAAAGGGGAGGCAGGGGGAAGAAGCAGGTTAACAAAGGGGAGGCAGGGGGAAGAAGCAGGTTAACAAAGGGGAGGCAGGGGGAAGAAGCAGGTTAACAAAGGGAGGCAGGGGGAAGAAGCAGGTTAACAAAGGGAGGCAGGGGAAGAAGCAGGTTAACAAAGGGGAGGCAGGGGAAGAAGCAGGTCACAAAGGGGAGGCAGGGGAAGAAGCAGGTTCACAAAGGGGAGGCAGGGGGAAGAAGCAGGTTAACAAAGGGGAGGCAGGGGGAAGAAGCAGGTTCACAAAGGGGAGGCAGGGGAAGAAGCAGGTTCACAAAGGGGAGGCAGGGGAAGAAGCAGGTTCACAAAGGGAGGCAGGGGGAAGAAGCAGGTTCACAAAGGGGAGGCAGGGGAAGAAGCAGGTTAACAAAGGGAGGCAGGGGGAAGAAGCAGGTTCACAAAGGGGAGGCAGGGGGAAGAAGCAGGTTCACAAAGGGGAGGCAGGGGGAAGAAGCAGGTTCACAAAGGGGAGGCAGGGGGAAGAAGCAGGTTCACAAAGGGGAGGCAGGGGGAAGAAGCAGGTTCACAAAGGGGAGGCAGGGGGAAGAAGCAGGTTAACAAAGGGGAGGCAGGGGGAAGAAGCAGGTTCACAAAGGGGAGGCAGGGGGAAGAAGCAGGTTCACAAAGGGGAGGCAGGGGGAAGAAGCAGGTTCACAAAGGGGGTGCAGGGGGAAGAAGCAGGTTAACAAAGGGGAGGCAGGGGGAAGAAGCAGGTTCACAAAGGGGAGGCAGGGGGAAGAAGCAGGTTCACAAAGGGGAGGCAGGGGGAAGAAGCAGGTTCACAAAGGGGAGGCAGGGGGAAGAAGCAGGTTCACAAAGGGGAGGCAGGGGGAAGAAGCAGGTTCACAAAGGGGAGGCAGGGGGAAGAAGCAGGTTAACAAAGGGGAGGCAGGGGGAAGAAGCAGGTTCACAAAGGGAGGCAGGGGGAAGAAGCAGGTTCACAAAGGGAGGCAGGGGAAGAAGCAGGTTCACAAAGGGGAGGCAGGGGGAAGAAGCAGGTTCACAAAGGGGAGGCAGGGGGAAGAAGCAGGTTCACAAAGGGGAGGCAGGGGGAAGAAGCAGGTTAACAAAGGGGAGGCAGGGGGAAGAAGCAGGTTCACAAAGGGGAGGCAGGGGGAAGAAGCAGGTTCACAAAGGGGAGGCAGGGGGAAGAAGCAGGTTCACAAAGGGGAGGCAGGGGGAAGAAGCAGGTTCACAAAGGGAGGCAGGGGGAAGAAGCAGGTTCACAAAGGGGAGGCAGGGGGAAGAAGCAGGTTAACAAAGGGGAGGCAGGGGGAAGAAGCAGGTTCACAAAGGGGAGGCAGGGGGAAGAAGCAGGTTCACAAAGGGGAGGCAGGGGGAAGAAGCAGGTTCACAAAGGGGAGGCAGGGGGAAGAAGCAGGTTCACAAAGGGGAGGCAGGGGGAAGAAGCAGGTTCACAAAGGGGAGGCAGGGGGAAGAAGCAGGTTCACAAAGGGGAGGCAGGGGGAAGAAGCAGGTTCACAAAGGGGAGGCAGGGGGAAGAAGCAGGTTCACAAAGGGGAGGCATGGGGAAGAAGCAGGTTCACAAAGGGAGGCAGGGGGAAGAAGCAGGTTAACAAAGGGGAGGCAGGGGGAAGAAGCAGGTTCACAAAGGGGAGGCAGGGGGAAGAAGCAGGTTAACAAAGGGGAGGCAGGGGGAAGAAGCAGGTTAACAAAGGGGAGGCAGGGGGAAGAAGCAGGTTAACAAAGGGGAGGCAGGGGGAAGAAGCAGGTTAACAAAAGGGAGGCAGGGGGAAGAAGCAGGTTCACAAAGGGGAGGCAGGGGGAAGAAGAGGTTAACAAAGGGGAGGCAGGGGGAAGAAGCAGGTTAACAAAGGGGAGGCAGGGGGAAGAAGCAGGTTCACAAAGGGGAGGCAGGGGGAAGAAGCAGGTTCACAAAGGGGAGGCAGGGGAAGAAGCAGGTTCACAAAGGGGAGGCAGGGGGAGAAGCAGGTTCACAAAGGGGAGGCAGGGGAAGAAGCAGGTTAACAAAGGGAGGCAGGGGGAAGAAGCAGGTTCACAAAGGGGAGGCAGGGGGAAGAAGCAGGTTCACAAAGGGGAGGCAGGGGGAAGAAGCAGGTTCACAAAGGGGAGGCAGGGGGAAGAAGCAGGTTCACAAAGGGGAGGCAGGGGGAAGAAGCAGGTTAACAAAGGGGAGGCAGGGGGAAGAAGCAGGTTCACAAAGGGGAGGCAGGGGGAAGAAGCAGGTTCACAAAGGGGAGGCAGGGGGAAGAAGCAGGTTCACAAAGGGGAGGCAGGGGGAAGAAGCAGGTTAACAAAGGGGAGGCAGGGGGAAGAAGCAGGTTCACTAAGGGGAGGCAGGGGGAAGAAGCAGGTTCACAAAGGGGAGGCAGGGGGAAGAAGCAGGTTCACAAAGGGGAGGCAGGGGGAAGAAGCAGGTTCACAAAGGGGAGGCAGGGGGAAGAAGCAGGTTCACAAAGGGGAGGCAGGGGGAAGAAGCAGGTTCACAAAGGGGAGGCAGGGGGAAGAAGCAGGTTCACAAAGGGGAGGCAGGGGGAAGAAGCAGGTTCACAAAGGGGAGGCAGGGGGGAGAAGCAGGTTCACAAAGGGAGGCAGGGGGAAGAAGCAGGTTCACAAAGGGGAGGCAGGGGAAGAAGCAGGTTCACAAAGGGGAGGCAGGGGGAAGAAGCAGGTTAACAAAGGGGAGGCAGGGGGAAGAAGCAGGTTCACAAAGGGAGGCAGGGGAAGAAGCAGGTTCACAAAGGGGAGGCATGGGGAAGAAGCAGGTTCACAAAGGGGAGGCAGGGGGAAGAAGCAGGTTAACAAAGGGGAGGCAGGGGGAAGAAGCAGGTTAACAAAAGGGAGGCAGGGGGAAGAAGCAGGTTCACAAAGGGGAGGCAGGGGGAAGAAGCAGGTTCACAAAGGGGAGGCAGGGGGAAGAAGCAGGTTCACAAAGGGGAGGCAGGGGGAAGAAGCAGGTAAACAAAGGGGAGGCAGGGGGAAGAAGCAGGTTCACAAAGGGGAGGCAGGGGAAGAAGCAGGTTCACAAAGGGAGGCAGGGGGAAGAAGCAGGTTAACAAAGGGGAGGCAGGGGAAGAAGCAGGTTCACAAAGGGGAGGCAGGGGGAAGAAGCAGGTTCACAAAGGGAGGCAGGGGGAAGAAGCAGGTTCACAAAGGGGAGGCAGGGGGAAGAAGCAGGTTCACAAAGGGGAGGCAGGGGAAGAAGCAGGTTCACAAAGGGGAGGCAGGGGGAAGAAGCAGGTTAACAAAGGGGAGGCAGGGGGAAGAAGCAGGTTCACAAAGGGGAGGCAGGGGGAAGAAGCAGGTTCACAAAGGGGAGGCAGGGGAAGAAGCAGGTTCACAAAGGGGAGGCAGGGGAAGAAGCAGGTTCACAAAGGGAGGCAGGGGGAAGAAGCAGGTTCACAAAGGGGAGGCAGGGGGAAGAAGCAGGTTAACAAAGGGGAGGCAGGGGGAAGAAGCAGGTTCACAAAGGGGAGGCAGGGGAAGAAGCAGGTTCACAAAGGGGAGGCAGGGGGAAGAAGCAGGTTAACAAAGGGGAGGCAGGGGGAAGAAGCAGGTTCACAAAGGGGAGGCAGGGGAAGAAGCAGGTTCACAAAGGGGAGGCAGGGGAAGAAGCAGGTTAACAAAGGGGAGGCAGGGGGAAGAAGCAGGTTCACAAAGGGGAGGCAGGGGGAAGAAGCAGGTTAACAAAGGGGAGGCAGGGGGAAGAAGCAGGTTCACAAAGGGGAGGCAGGGGGAAGAAGCAGGTTCACAAAGGGGAGGCAGGGGGAAGAAGCAGGTTCACAAAGGGGAGGCAGGGGGAAGAAGCAGGTTCACAAAGGGGAGGCAGGGGGAAGAAGCAGGTTCACAAAGGGGAGGCAGGGGGAAGAAGCAGGTTAACAAAGGGGAGGCAGGGGGAAGAAGCAGGTTCACAAAGGGGAGGCAGGGGGAAGAAGCAGGTTCACAAAGGGGAGGCAGGGGGAAGAAGCAGGTTAACAAAGGGGAGGCAGGGGGAAGAAGCAGGTTCACAAAGGGGAGGCAGGGGGAAGAAGCAGGTTCACAAAGGGGAGGCAGGGGAAGAAGCAGGTTAACAAAGGGAGGCAGGGGGAAGAAGCAGGTTCACAAAGGGGAGGCAGGGGGAAGAAGCAGGTTAACAAAGGGGAGGCAGGGGGAAGAAGCAGGTTCACAAAGGGGAGGCAGGGGGAAGAAGCAGGTTCACAAAGGGGAGGCAGGGGGAAGAAGCAGGTTCACAAAGGGGAGGCAGGGGGAAGAAGCAGGTTCACAAAGGGGAGGCAGGGGGAAGAAGCAGGTTCACAAAGGGGAGGCAGGGGGAAGAAGCAGGTTCACAAAAGGGGAGGCCAGACAATCCTCCCCTGCAGCCTCCACCCCTGCCTCCTGTGCCAACCCCATGCCTATGGAGTCTGGATGCTGGGGCGGGGGAGAGGAGAAAGGGGGGAGGGGAAGCATAAGGAAAGGAACGGAAATACAAAACATGCTCCACCCCACCCACCCCAGCATCCAGACCCCATGGGCCCATGCCACAGTCACACTCAGCCTACCCACCCATCCGCAGTACACTCACCACACAGCCACCAACCCACCCACCAACCGACCCACCCGCATGATGCTCATAGCATAGTCGAACTCTGCCCCCCGTCGCACTGTCGCCAGCGGGGGCCCGCCAATGAGTCAACTAAGAGCCCCCTCGTTTGAGTGGTTCACAGCCCCACCCACCCACACACCCACCCTCACTATGCTCCTCTGAGTCCACCCACCCGCATGATGCTCATAGCATAGTCGAACTCGGGCCCGCGTCGCACTGTCGCCAGCGGCGGCCCGCCAATGAGAGCCACCCCCGTGCCCTTGGCGCGCCAGGGTGCGTCCGCTCTGAGGGTCTTCTTGGGAGGAGCCATCCGGTCCGGTGTGTGTGTGTGGTTGCTGCATAGGCGTGGGCGAAAGGAGGAGAGGGAAAGGAAGGGATGGGGAGTCAATCAAAGCCACAGCCGTGCCGTTGGCGCGCCAGGGTGCGTCCGCTCGAAGGGAGCTCTGGAGCCATTCGGTATGGAATTACAATTAAAGCCAGCGTCCAATTAAAGCCAGCGTCCAATTAAAGCCAGCATCCAATTAAAGCCAGCGTCCAATTGAAGCCAGCGTCCAATCGAAAAGCGCAAGGGACGCGAATCGCGCAAGGGACGGGACGGCCGCGGGGAAGGGACAGGCTGTGATTTTCTCACCCTCGTTACCTGCTCTTCACCCTGTCTTTCCCCACCATCCCCTCGCCAGCTAGCCGTAAGATGGTTTCGTACGTATGTCGGAATTTGTTACTGGGGCTCCTGTTACTCCCGCAATCAATCGATCGTTGCGAAATCAAACCCAGACGGCAATGACGCCAGGCTGTTACGCCTCAGTACCCGGTTCTTACATGTGTGAGCGGACGCACGGAAAATGCGGAAATACTTTTGAAGGTTCTCGAAAACGGGCGCACGGAAAATGCAGCAACTACGCAGCGCGAAAACCGCGGGTCCGTGACACGTGGTGTGGTGAGATAGCAAGGGAACGTATGGTCGTAAAACGCACTACTCTGGTTAGCAGTCCTAATGGATTTCCTCAGCAATAATGGATTTCCTTATCCGTGCTTCGCGTGTCATCCTGCATACCGAGTACAAATGTTCTGCCTTATAGGCTCTTCCTAAGATAGTCCATTTTTTCCATCGAGTGAAATTTTCATATATGTCCTAGGTATAGCCCCTCCTCTACAGTCCCCTTTTTGGCGGGAAGTTTTGCAACCTGACTGGTTTCATGCACGAATCAGTTCCGCAGCCAATCACAGGACCCAATTTGAACCAGCCCAAAATTCACGGAGAATGTAAGAAGAAGGAAGTTTTGTTTTGATATTTACATCTTGAACTGTTATTGTCTGTTTCTCTTGACTGTGTTTGCCTTTAAATCCCGTCGTACAGTTCCCAGCACGCTCGACGATGACAGGGAAAGACAAAAAAATAATTCCTTTCATGAATGCCTCAAACGTAATTGATTCTGTTAAATTCTGCCCGGTAGTCATGCGGTATTGAACAGCGTGGAGAACCGTGCGACAAGAAGTTGAAGAAAGCGCGTTCCGAATGGAATGTATATGATACAAAACAAAAGATATCAGCGAATAAAAACCACTTCTCGTGCAGTTTTACTGAAATGGGACTATAGGGTCCCGTTTGCCTGGGGTTTGTGAGTTTTTCCACAAAGGCCCGCAGCGCGTGTGTTTTTTACGTGGACTCTAAAGGAGAACATTTGTACAGTTCTGTTGGCTCGCCATACGACATGTGGGCGGTGTTCGCCAGCACACGAAAATTTGAAAGAAAAATGACAGCGTCGGAATGGCGACCGCATCAGGGAACGGGGACGGAACCCACCGAAGAGGTTTGGGCGTCATGCCACTCGAGAAATTTCCCACCCTGAAACGGGAAATGACGCAACCGCGTCGGAACCTCCATCCCCACCTTACGTCCACTGGCGCAAAAGGGGGGATGCCATCTGTATGCCATCGCTGTCCTCCGTGAAAGGGGGGATGGCGATGGCATAGCATGGGGAGGGATTTTTGCTCGGGGACGAAGTTTCGTCCCCGCTTCCATATGCCGTTGTGCAGTTCTAAATGGGATTAGTTCGGGGGCGTTCGCCAGGCCCTCGATTTGGTTTTTGGTTCGGACGACATGAGAGGCTCGGCAGCATTTTTACGGGCTGACCAAGCTGTCGGAGCTTAACAAAAACCCTAACTGTTGGGATGAGAAAGGCGTGACTGACCTTCCTGATCCCGTCGATTTTGCTTTCAAAGGTGCTGGCGAACACCACCGTTATCAGTTGTAAAGAAAATGTGAGTGGTGGAAATTTCAACACACTTTTCCTCCCCATAGTGGATTCAGTTTTGAAAATAGGTCGGTTTGTAGAAACTCACCGCATATTACGGGTGCAATGAATCGAGGTAGCGAGGATTGCACTAGAGTGTTCAAAGAGTACAAAGTATGAGCGAAGGCATGAGCGAATACTTATACGCGGAAATGTGCAAACGGTAACGCGGTGCGTGCGAGCTAGCTAGTGCTGTGCTGGCGCGAGGTTCGGGCTAGTCCCGAAGCGTAGGCCGACTCGGCTGCTCCACCAGTGCGAGGTTTGGTGAAACAGTGCGCGAGAAGTTGGCGAAGCCCCGTTAGCAGTAACGGGCAAACAACGGTTGCTGCTGTACGCGATGTTGACGGTCGCAGCAAGGAATAGCGATAAATTTCCTTACAATACCCCCCCCCCCCCCCCAACCCCCCCCCCCAGAAGCCCCCTCCGCTACGCGAGTGCGTGTATATCGCGGAAACCCCGGCTCCTCAGGTACACTTGCAGGGCAGGGTGGTTTTTTATGTTGGCCAGGGGCACCCAGCTATCTTCAGTTGGCGTGCGGTCCTTACAGCGAACGAGGAACGCGCTCCTCTTGATGGCTGTGGGGTGTCGAATCCGATGGCTCAGATTTTTTTCGGGCTCGATGATCGGCTCCGATGCAGGGCGAGTCATGGATGGCGGGCGGTGACGAGGCAGTTGGCTCATGCTTGGGATGTAAGGGCGAAGAAGGCTGACGTGTAATGATGGGCTGATGTACTAGTCTGTCGGCAACAGTAAATGGGCGGTAACAGGGGTGATCATGTGGCTGATTTGGAATGGTCCACAGTAGCGCGATCGTAATTTTGGTACGACGGGCAGTCTTAAGTTCTGTGTGTCGAGCAATACGTAATCCCCTGACTGGTACGTGACTGGGCGGCGGTGGCAGTCAGCGTTGCGTTTAGCGATGACGTTGGTTTTTTTAATTGCTTCTGCGGCTCTGGTGCGGGCAGCTTGCAGAATCTCGGCGAATTGCTGTGCGCGTGGCGTTGGGTTGTCCGGGCTCTGCGTCATGGGCACTGTTGGGTTTTGCCCGTAGTTCAGGTAAAACGGGGACTGCTGCGTCGTCGCTGACGTGGCGTTGTTGTAGGCAAACTCGATCAGCGGCAGCTGATGCTCCCAAGTTGTCGGGTCGTCGCACGTGGCACGAATCAACTGCTCCATCGTCTGATTCGTCCGCTCCGTTTGGCCGTCGGTCTCGGGGTGGTACGACGAGCTGAACTGTAGCCTGGCCCCGAACTGCTCCCAGAGATTCTTCCAGAAGTTGCTGGTAAACTTCGTGTCGCGGTCGCTGATGATTGCGGTTGGTATCTTGTGTAGCCGAACGACGGTTGCGATGATCAGGCGAGCGGTTTCTTCGGCTGAGATCGATTTCCTGCACGCAGCGAAGTGAGCCATTTTTGTCAGTCTGTCTACGACGACCATTACCGCGTCGTTACCCCCAGGGTTCGAAGGTAACCCTGTGACGAAATCCATGGTAACCTGCTGCCAGGCGCGCTCGTGCGGTGGAATCGGCTGCAACTGACCCGCCTTTCTTTTCCGCGTGTGAATTAAGAAAAACAGGAATGAGAATGACTAAGTGAAAGTTGGGTACAAGAAGCAAACCCTAGAAAACTGTACCCCATATGTGCTACCCCACTC